TTTTTTTTGCAATTTTCCAATTAATTTCAGACCTGAGCATGTTAACGTTCCTGCGCCACCTCATCTATTTTCCATGCTGTCTAGCCATGAATTTGGCAGGAGCCTTCTCAGTGACATGGGTGTGATTGAAACCTTGGTGAATAGTCTGAACGATGAGCAAAATTCTTTGAACGTCAAAGCGGCGCTTATGGGATTAGGACACATTGGAAGTCATAGTGAAGGTTAGGGTACCAATGCACTCTGTTTCTGCCTAATATGTATTTGTTATATCTAGGTCTCAAGCTACTTCCTGCTGCAACTGTGCCACAAATAATTCGCTTGGCTGAAGAATCTCCCATCCTCACTATTCGTGGCTACGCCTTCTGGGCTCTAAATTTGCTAAGCACATCAGTTTCAGGTATGCAGATAAGATTTTCTTCTACATTTTTAAAATAAAAACTGGAAAATTGTCTCTTTATCTGAAAAATTTCAAAAGATCGTGACTAACGGGGACTATCGTTATCTTCGACGTGTTGTCCTGTTGTATTAGTCGACGCATAATTCTTGCACAAATTTTTTTTTCTGTTATTTCATTCCAGCTTCAGTAAATAACAGAAAAAAAAAGATTTTCTCTTCATTACGCGTAAAGTCAGAAGTCTTCTGACTTTACGCGTAATGTAAAAAGAAAAGCTTGCGCTTTTTGAGGGTGCTCGAATCAAAATTCCTTGAGGGCATATGGCAACGATATAAGTGATTAAAAGAAATATCTAAAAAGTGATTTTTCGATTTTTGGCGACTAAAACTGCTAAAATCTCTTAACATCAAATTTATTCTTGGTCGTAATTCTACGACATACTTTTTTGATTGAGAAATCTGAGTGATTGGATGTCTGTGCGAATGATTATGAATTTTCAATTTTTCAAAATTGACTTATTGAAGTTGTTTCATATTGTTTTCCTAAAATGTATTATAAAATACTACTCCTGAATACATAACAATAAGCCTATTCTGTAAATTGATCAGTTTGTTTGAGCACTTTCGAAACAATTGTCCACCAGCCTGATACATCCATCGCATCTCTTTTTCATAGTTAAAAGTCGCAAGTGGGAGCGATTATCATAAATTTTTGATAATCTTTTCTAGCATGACAGAAATACTCTATCGTGAAATAGCACCAGGTTGTTTTTT